CTCTGCAGAAGGCGGATATAGATGACCTTCAGGCCTTCCACATGCGGTGTCAGAGGCAGATTCTGAACATCAGGTTGTACGAATTTGTCTTCAGTCTAACTGCCTCTAATGAACGGAACTGAACTAAGCTGAATTGAACTATCCTCCATTACCGACACAATCGATCAGCGCATAATTGCCCTGTTTGGGCACGTGTCAACAAAGGATTTTACTCACGATGTCATCATCGCCGCAGCTCCAAACACTCGCACCGGAGTCCACTCTCTTCTTGTCGGCGGCCTTGGAAAGGACTGCGGAACACATTACGAAACAGTTTGCACAGAACCAGTCCTCTGATTTCCTCTGAACATGTTCGAAAACGGTGTCAGGAGTGTTAGAAATTCACAGAAACTGACAGAACTCTTACGAACTCAGCGTCATTCAGCTGACACACGATTTTTCTGGTAAAGTAATAAATGTTTTATTAGTTATTGGATTATTCACACAACTGGCATGGCAGATCTGTACTAGTCTTTCGTAGCAAAGTTCAAATGTCCCAGAAAATGACTTTCATCTTCTTAGTGGTTCTTTTGCTTTTCGTTAAATGTTCCCTTATAAACCTAGCTCCTTTTGCCAACGTTAGCAACAGAATTAACTATTAATTTTATATGCAACATCATTTCTTTCATCGTGATGCACTTTCGTAGCGACAGATTTATTTGCCGATTTGTAAGCCCATACCTATAATTTCATTTGCGTCGTTCATTATACCCTTGCAGATAGTTAAGTGGAAACAAATAGCTGTAGGTCTGAGATGCTAGTTGTCATAAATCCACACTTGAAACTTTTCACTGGACCAAAAGCACTGTACAGCATCGGAAATGTGCAGATAACCATAGAATAGCAAACTCATATGCAGCGAGGCTTTCACAACCGAGTCACGGTGAATATGATAGAATGAGAATGTTCATAGTACAATTTGTTTTGTAACCCAAAATTTGAGGAGCTGTAACTACTAACTTACTGAAATAGCAGTTTTGATTTCGTGCCGAGAAAAACACGAAGTTGGTTCGTGCTCCTAAATATGTTTATTAGCGGAATTGTTCTGCGTTGTAATGCTCAAAATTTACTCCCAGATACTTTGGAGGCCCTTTAAACAGGTCACGATAAAATTAAGTATGAAGTGTTTTGATACATCCCGCGTTATTTTATCTGCTGAAATACTGCCTTGACTATCACCAGTAAAACTTATTTTCCGGTAGACATGTGCATTACCAGGAACGTCAAATGGTTGATTCATATACGAAGAATATAATAATATCTGCTTTTGTGTTCATTAACGTCACAACGATGTGCCTACGTTAACTGAAAATATATTTGTTATACAGTTGTAGGAAAAAGAAATTTGCTTGAGGAGTTTCCCATCCATTGTCCGGCGTGCTGACTGTATTTGTTCTGGGGACTCCTGTTAGAATCAATTATTCTAATCATAAGAAATATGAATTTGTTCCTGATTGTTATCGATGCATGTGTTTGAGCATTTCATGCGCACAAGTTGTAAATTTTGGCCAGATTAAGATACAAACTGATCATGATCTACTATGCAGAAGTTGAGCGTCACGTTGAAGTACAGAAACCATAATTTTCAAATAGGTAGGGTGAGTAGATTGCGAGTTCGAATGCATTTTCTTTTTTAATTAGAGCATATAACATAGTTTCAATTAATCTGTTGTAAATTGACGTATTATGGTTACTCCTATTAATTTACCTGTTGTGAGCTCTGAATCCATTTTTCAATTTACTCCACTGGAGTACAGCCGAGTGGATTGATTGCCCACGTCAGAAAATATTTATGCTTAAGATTTACATTTAGTCTGATGAGCATTTTTTACTTGTTTTATGACTTCGTTTTAGATCGAAATGTTGAGGTACCGTTTGATGGTCACGCGACAGGAGAAAATGGAAGACGAAGTGCATCGCACTACCGAAGTCATGCGTAACTTGCCGCCGTTGATACTTCCCAGGACATGCACATCTTTTTACGTACGACATGGAACCGCTGATCAGAAATATGAACAACGCCGTGATGAGTTCCACAAACTAATTCGCGACTTTAACCGGTTTAAAAAGGTGCGTTTGTGTTGGGAATAAATTTTAATAAATTTTCATCAGCGAAATGCGCATAAATCATATTTACTTCTCCTGCATACCATTTTGCGCATCCCAGTTTATATTTCGCGCCGCGCAGTTTCTGACGAAGGTGTCATCGGCATAGAATCTTTTCTGATTTTCATGAATTTGTTTATCGGTTTTAGGGTATCCGTAAGTCTGTCGTAAGTATATTTGCGGAACTGCCTCAAAACAAGTTATTTTTCTAATGGATCTCGAGACAAATTTTCGCGGATTATCTTGCGTATCTGCTGTAGTGCACTCACCTAATGTACTGATGTGTTCGATTAAGAAATGATGGTTCTAGTCTGCTAAAAAGTTTTCTTCCCTTTTTGGCATTAGTAGACCGCAGCTTATGTCGAAAAGACTTCTGAGTTAATTTTTAGTCTGCATGGCCTCTCAGCGACGAGTATTCTTGCCTTTAGCTATCGTTATGGAGGAAACGACTTGGTTGTCATTACATCGAGTTCTGAGTACTTGAAGCACAATTCACGGCAATCAACGAGAGACACCTGTATTCCTGGTAATTCTGTATAGCGCTTTTAAAATTTCATACAAATGTTGAAGTTTTTACTATTAGTAGAGGTATATTTAGTTGGGAAAATGGTAAAGTTCATAACTAAAGTAGAAAGGCTATTATTATACATGGCGTAAACATTTTGGTGCCGGACTAAGGTTTCGGCTGATATGTTGCCAGCTTTTGTCGACTTCAAACAGCATATCTCACCCATGTTGTTTGCAGTTGATAAAGGCTTGTGCTAACATCAACCAAAACTGATCTTGCGCCAAAACTTCTGCGGCTTCTGTAATATTCATAAAGTATTTGTACTTCACTAATTTGTTTGATTGACTACTTTAACGAGAAATCTGCATCTCACTTGAAAGGGTAACGCTTTGTTGCATAAATTAAGCCGTTGTTGTGGACCGCGTAATGTTTTTTGCTTTTGAAGCTTTCGAAGCAGAAACACAGTC